GTTTTCGTTGTACCAGACGCTCGCGCCGTTCTTCACGACGCTGCACCAAAAAACAATTGGTGCTTCTCAAATACATGGCTTGCACTGAGCGTGAACCTATTGCAGCGTGCATTTTGCACCCCGTAGTTGATTTTCTCAGCAAGAACCAAATCGCAATGACCACCAGCATAAAGTGCGACAACGTCATGTGCAAACAATGTTAAACAGTTCAGCTTTCTGGTGAAATCCGATGTTCGCAACACTAGCAATAGGTGTCCCAGTTGTAAAGTTGGGCAGTATATATAGCAGTTTCGCGATGATACACGACAGCCTAATGAAATGTTAGAGCGCATGACTAATAAAGCACAGAGTTGTAAAAGTGAGGGCCAAAAACGAGTGCATGTAAAAACGGAAGCAATACTACTTCTCGAGGCAGTATTTTGCGAAGTTTCGAGGGCATGCAAGCAAATAACCAAATACAATTTATTTTAGGGGTTCTAAAAATCTAGGTCCGTCCTTTGCGCTATTTATGTTCAATTAGGGATATAATTGTACGCATTCCTATGTATTTCTTTTTGCAGTAAGGCGTTCTGTATGGAATTATTTAGAAAAATACCATTTATTATCTGGCTCTTTCTGCACATTTCCTATTTTCCTTCCGGTGTATCATGTGAGCACAAAGTACAGGGTGTCACAAAAGAAAATTTACACGGTCTTTTTTACCGCAAAAATAAACTAGGCATCGCCGAACGCTCATTCTCCGCCCAAAGGTAGAGCTAGAGGTCACAACCAGATGCCAAAGTTTCAGCCCGATCGGATAAGTTAATCAAAAGTTATTAGTGATTTTCTGAAAATTTCAATGGAAAAATGGCCGCCGACGGAGATTTCAAACACATGGGGCTCTATGGCACCAGAAACCGAAAACGGGCAAAAATGGGCTCCATTTTCCCATTGAAATTTTCAGAAAATCACTTATAACTTTTGATTAACTTATCGGATCGGGCTGAAACTTTGGCATCTGGTTGTGACCTCTAGCTCTACCCTTGGGCGGAGAATGAGCGTTTGGCGATGTCTAGTTTATTTTTGCGGTAAAAAAGACCGTGTAAATTTTCTTTTGTGACACCCTGTACATTTTTGGCATATCCTGTAACCTGCCAAACAGGGAACAAAAAACACGTTTCCGTGAACTACACAGACCTCAAGCAGTTATGTGAACTTCGGAGGCAAATTTATTGATGAAAAATATGTTTAATTAGTTACTGAACTTTGCACAACATAAATCAAGGGATGATCCCCTTAAATATATACATCGCAGCTTTCGTAAATATGCACCCCGAATTATCTTAAAGGGCAACTCCGCTTCATTTTTGGTTTTGAACAAACAATGCAGTCCTCTTCAGTATCGCCTAGGAAGACCACACGTGAAATCTTACGACGCAGTTCTGTCTAAATGTTTCTTAAACGGCCCGGCAAACTTTGCAACTCGCCAAGTTGCCGAAATCGGCTGACTCGAGCGGGCGAATTCAGGCGCAACCAACAGCGCAGTCAAGGCTACGGCATGGGCGGAGCCAACATTGAGCTAAACGCCATCTACATGGCCCCCTTTTGCTTGTTTTCACTTCTCCGGGCGAGGGTAGCGCATGACGTCAGCAACTTTGCCTCTCGGCGCTCAGCAGTGTCCACGTGATTGGCGTACGCGCCTGCGCAGCGCGTTTCTTGGGAGCCGTCCGGCCGCCCGCCGTGGTCCCGCCGTTACCGCGGTTACCGCAGTCTTCCGCGTCACAACCGCCGTCGTTGTCTCACCGATTGTGATTATTGTCTCTCGGAGTTTCGTCCACACTACGGACACCACGTGCGCGCACACTTATGCCGCAGTTGTGCAGACGTCGTCGAATGCCGTAGACACCAAAACGTGGCGAAGAGTGCGGTGCAGACGACACTCGCGCCTACCACACGCCCGCCCCAATCCCGCCCGTCGTTGGGCCGAGGATCACGTGACATCTCGTACCACGTGATGGCCATGCACTTGGCGACCCGAGGCTAATGTTGCCGGGCGGAGCCGAAGTTTCGGTTTCGATTTCCGCTCGTGTTTAAAATCAGATTTAAAAATATATATTCCATTTTTCGCGAAGCAAAACGAGGTAGTGTGTTTTACTAGGGCTTTTTAATTCGAAATCAATCATTATCCCGAAATCTTCGGAATCGAGCGGAGTTGCCCTTTAAATGTGCTCTGCAAATCTTTTCCGGCGTTTTTATCCTCGATAGACACGTGTCAAAGTAATTTGGGAAGAACCTTAATCAATTTTTTTTTCTTCGGATTTTGAAGCTAACTTAAAGAACTGCGTGTTTCTGAGACATATATAACTTCTCAAACTAATGAAAGTCCGTTAGTGTCTCTTTTATGTGATTAACGGAAGTTTTGTGAGTCTGTGGTCGATCCACACCGCTGCCAATTTCGATGTCGTGTATCACTACTGTTAAAGACCCCAGGCTAGTTGTTGTTGTACCGCATTGGCTAAATTTCCCATCTACAGCTGGGAAACAAGTCGCCCATTGAGGCAGATTAAGTTCTGGGCTGCATAAACACCCACCCGGCGGTCCAATTTAAACCGCATGCTTTTGTTTGGACGACGCACCTGGTGCAACATTGTTGTGCTGGCCGCAATGGGAAAGGGAAATATGTGTAGTAGTGAATGGCCCGGCAGAAATAGCTCCTTTGTGGAATTGTTGAGCGACTTCGAGGGGAGAATAAAAGTTCAACGTCAAGACACGTCATCGACACTGTAGTGCTGTTACTCGAGACCTTTCTCAAATAAATAATTTTTGGACAACGCTGTGCCGAAAATAATCCCTAGAGGAGGGGAACAAGAGGGACAAAGGACAACCACACATCTTCAAACACAGCTAGGTGACTGGTGCGCGATCGGAAGAAACAGTCTGGTCCGGATATCGAAACCGGGACCTCCATTTCCAGTGGAGCGCTCTACCAACTGAGCTAAGCAGGGGTTAGACGTCAGTAGAGCAAACAAGTTTTATCAACTGCCACCAGTCTAACGCCAACAAGGGTGAAAGGCTTGCAATTTTAAGGTTATGATTATAATGCAATTAAATGCAAAGGTGCATTTAACCAACCGGTTTTACCAACTGAGCGACAAAGGTTAGCTCAGTTGGTATAGCTCAGTTGGTAGAGCGTTCCACTGGAAATGGAGGTTCCGGGTTCGATACCCGGACCTCTCGGTTACGCACAGTCACCTAGCTGTGTTTGTCCTTTGTCCCTCTTGTTCCCCTCCTCCAGGGATTACTTTCGTCATTCTTGCCCAGCTCGCTTGCACCTTTGCATTATAATCATAATGCTGTGCCGTTTGGTACGTAGAATATATTCCGAGATTGTTGACACTGGCTAAATTTTGTGTCAGAGTCCTTTTGTTCTAGATCGATAATCGCGCGATTTGTGTGCGTAAAATATGCTCTACTGACATCTAACCCCTGGTTAGCTCAGTTGGTAGAGCGCTCCACTTGTAATGGAGAGGTCCCGGGTTCGATCCCGGACCAGGCGGATTTTTTCGGTCGCTCACCAGTCACCTAGCTGTGTTTGGAGATTTATGTTTGTCCCTTGTCCCTCTTGTTCCCCTTCTCCAGGGTTTATTTTCATCATTATTGTCCAGCTCGCTTGCCCCTTTGCATTTAATTGCATTATAATTATAACATTAAAATTGCAAGCTTCACCCTTGTTGGTGTTAGACTGGTGGCGGCTGATAAAACCCGTTTGCTCTACTGACATCCAACCCCTGGTTAGCTCAGTTGGTAGAGCGCTCCACTTGTAATGGAGAGGTCCCGGGTTCGATACCCGGACCAGGCGGATTTTTTCGGTCGCTCACCAGTCACCTAGCTGTGTTTGGAGATATATGTTTGTCCCTTGTCCCTCTTGTTCCCCTTCTCCAGGGTTTGTTTTCATCTTTCGGCTATCTTCTCCCGTAAATTATTTTTCAAAAGCGAAGCTGTTTGTCGATTGACACAGCTGAGTGGGCAGCACCTTTAAAACTCATCGCAAAATAAAACACATTGCAGTCGCATTCACTTTGTCGTTTTGTTTTAAATGTGATGCAATGCTCTCTCAATATCCTCAACAAAATACATTTAAAAAACATTTTTGCGTGCTTTCCAATGGTGGGACGTCACAAATGGTAGACTTTGAGGTCGCGGAGGTGGTCTTAAACAGAGTATATCGAGCGTATTTTCGTGCTCAGTGAATGAGCTTCCAAGTATTAATTTCCCACCACCCAACATCTTGTAAATCAGTTGGGAACGTGGTTTACAGCACACTTTGTACCATTTCTGGCGTCGCACCTCAGTGTTGCCAGTAGGGGCTCTCGGTTTGAGAAACACGATGAGAACGAAATTAGAAAGCTCAATAACTTTGCAATGTTTTTTTTTACTTTGTTTTTCTGCTCACAGAATACTTTGGGGACTGGTACAGCCGTCAATCAATCAGCCTTTAAGCCAATTTTGAGCCAAAACGGAGGCCATAAAAATTGCTAGAGTAGCCTCTTAACGTCATTGGGCAAATGGACCAGTCAGCTCTATAAAACAGCTGATAGTTATAAAACTGCCACAGTAATTTGCAATAACAAAATGGAGATCACAATCGCTGCTGCTTATGTTGCAACAAGATCACATTACTTCTAAAGCTACTGAATTGTCTGTCACTTCTTGGGTACCACTGGTGACAGAAAAATAGGGTTCTAATTCAGCTGGAGTTCTCAAAACTACACCATCTCACCTGTTGTAAAATCAAAGGTGCCAAACTTTATTAGTAAATTTTTTGAAGACATTAAAATAATGCATTTTCTATCTTGAACATTTTTTTTTAATGAAGCTTAAGGATTTTGCTGGCAAAAGCAAAAAAACATTGGAACTGCTAGATGGTTGTGAAATCTAAGATTGCACAGCAGGCTCACATTAAACGAAGCACTTACTTACAAAGCAAGAAAACAAACAAAAAAACTTTCAGCACCCAGAAAAACATATTCACACACCTGGTTTATTGAAGAATCTAAACAAGAGCAACCAAAAATGTGAAACTCCACAAAGTGCAAAACTTGACCCCTCCTAATTGCAGAAGTCCTTGAAAGTGGAGAAGGCACAGAAATCCCTGTTCCTCCAGTGAGAACATGCCAGCTCTCCTCTTTCACAAACAAAAGTAAGCCCTGCCAAAACACACGCAAAGAAACAAGTGTCCCCATGTTTCGGCCCAAATAGCTCCTATCCTTCCCTCCCTACCTTAGTCATACGAGAAAATCTACGGTATTGCATTCTCGATATTTTTAGATGCTGACACCGGGGCCTCCGCAAATCCCGAGCAAAGAGTCAGCAGGGCCTCCGTGAAGCACTTCTACATTTCCACACTGTGCTACAGCACACGTGAAGGATGTCCATGTAGGGATGCTCCGGCGACAGCACAACGCCAAAGGCCGCGAGTCGACGTAGGAATGGGAACACGCTTTTAAATCAATGACGATGGTGTCGTTCCTTCCCAGGATGAATGAGGAAAAGTGGTCCATAGGCCGTACGGACACCAGCAAAGTTCTGCAGTCTGCCACGGGAAACTGCACCAACTGGTGTTGCACAGCAATCCAGTACCTTACCTACTACAAGAAAAAGACAAGCATGACTCTCAAGATGAAAAACCCATTTCAGTCTTTCCAGGGCACCTAACTTGAACAAGCAGTTGTAACATTCCCAAAAGACCACCCGAGGGGATAGCCGGGAAGTTGAGTGGCGGCACACTAGTCCTGGAGGGATGACGATCAAATGGACGCAGATCACTGTCTTAAATGATGATACGATAAGGCGCGGTCCCCTAAACTTGTCGTCACGGCGCTACACAGATATGTACCGAGCAAGCCACGGATGATAGCAACTGGCTCGCCTCGCACAGCGCTGATGGCAACAAAGTCTCAATCTCCGGGAATGATGAACCTAGGGAGGAGTAGTTCCTTGCCCTCCAGCGGAGATGCATCGAGGCGTGCTTCGCCTCACGGAAGCGACGACGCACCGGGACAGCGATGCGGGCCGCTGAAGAGCGTCCTGTTGGCGTCTTTACTTGAGCAGGATGCTGGAAGGTTCGCTGAAGGGCCCGAGCCTGTTGTGGATGTCCACGGCACGCACGGCGAAGTGGTACTTGTGTCCTTCCACGAACTGAGTCAGCGTGCATGCCATGGGCAGGGGCAGCGCCCGCACGTCGCCCACTTTCTTCCAGTGCGAGGTGGCCGGGGGGCCACCGGTCTCCTGGTAGGCGTACAGCTGGTACGTCTGGATCTCGGCATACAGCGAGTTGAAGGTCATGTTCCAGGACAGAACCAGGCCTGCTCCGCGAAGGACGAAGCAAAACGGCGTCAAGCAGTCCGAGGCGCTCCCCCAAAGTACTGTGCGAGTTTAGAACGGCTGCGGCGTCGATGCAATGCAAGTTTAGAGCTCGTTCATGACCTGGCACGAACGAAACCGCTTGTCGCTTTAACGCTAAAATTCTCCAGCGTCGCCGGCTGGCAACTGCAGGTCTGTTCATTAGTAAGTGCTACAGGTATTAAGTCAGGGAGCGGCTTTGGAGTGATGTTAGTAAAGCGCCGTTCACACACTTGCAACCGAGTAAAACCTGGAGAGACAAGACCGTTTTTTAAGTCTCTTGCGATGGCGTAGGACCTGAAGTGCTGCTGAAGAGCACGTCCTACGCTGCCGCAAGAGGCTTAAAACCCGGTCTTGTCTCTCTCCGTCCTACTCGGTTCCGTGCGACTAGCTTGTTTCTAGTCCGACGTATTGTGCTGCAATCATTCAGGGAAGATGTACCAGCAACAAATCTTAGAGATCTAAACAAAATCGGCAATCCGTGGGATTTGTTGCAAGCTGGTTTTACACTGCCGAGTTAAAATTTATATAATTTCTCTCCCTCGAATTACCTACCGGTACAATTTCCGGGCATCGCACGACAGTTGGTCTCGCACATGACAGTTGGTTTTACCCGCGACGAATTCTCATGTTGCATCGTAATATGAAAGGTATTTGTGTGGTTTAAGTTTCGAGCCACAGGACGTACCAACTTGTAAGCCCAATTACATTTCCAGCTGACCCCACCAAACCGCAGGGACGAGCGGACGCACCCATACAGTTGTCAAAAACCCCGACATCACACAATCTCCCGGCAGCAAAAGGCAGCAAATTCGACGGGACAGACAGAGTGCAGGAAAGAGGAGCAGCAGAAGAGAAAGCGACTGCAATCCCCCGGACAACACGGCGCAGGCCGGTACAGAGCCGGCGCAAGCGAAGCCGCCAGCAACATGCTACAGTGACCACAACCACGCCTCCCGCTTAAAACAACGAAACCAAACAAAAACCCTGGGAGGTGAAGGAAAAAAAAAAAAAAAAACACAAGAAGAGACCAAAAAGTAGCGCCCACCACAAAGCAGGAGACGCCTAAATGACTGCCTCCAAGAGGGCTAGAGCAGGGGGGAGGGAACGACTGTTACAATAAAAAATTTAAAAAAAACCGGAGAGGTGCACGAAGCGTGTGCCGATGCCTCAGACCACTGAGTCACCAGCCGATGAGTCACTGCAGCATGTCGCGACGGCCGTCGCTTCCCAACCTTTGCCGTGGCGAAACTAAGCAACGCTTTCTCTCTCCCAGGGCCAGGCGTGTTGTGTGTGGCGGCGACGGGTGTCCGTGTTCGAAGGGAGGTTTCCGCGAGTCCCCTTCTCCAGATTTGTCCAAAGCCCTTTTTCGTGGCGTTTCGCTTTTGACAAGAACACCGTAAAAAGGTAGACGACATTCTGAAGCGTTCCGGTGCCTTCGCAACACGTTCCTTGGATGCCGCGATCGCGCCGACCCGAACTGCCGCCGCCGAAAATCGGATGCAGCGACGTCGCAACTCAGTGCTCTGAGGTATCGTGGCACAACGACTTCGCGCGAGAAAAAAAAATGAAATGAAAAGAAAAGGAGCAAACAACTGAGGAAGCATTGTCTTTCGTTCTTTCTGGTGGCCGTCTCCTTTTCGGTCGCTTCTCCCACCGAGGTGCGTGACGTGCATTCGGGCGGTCACAGGTACCTTTCGTGCGGAGCTATGGCTGCCGAGGTCGGTTGCGAGGAGCGACCAAACCTCACGTGTCGTTGTCTTGGCTGGTGGACGGTGCGTCGGTATTGAAGACTCCTTAGAAAAAAGAAAGACGAGGACATACGGGAGGTTAGACTCTAGAGGGGTACCCGGCGTTTTTATTCATGGTCCCCGGTTTGCCTCGAAATTCCCTAGAACCACCAACAAACATATCTGAGCTGGAAACCAAAATATTAGTCCAAAATAATTATTTCTCGCAAGGTTATTGAAGTCTCAATTTTGGTCCTCGTGAGAGTTTAGTACGTAACAAATTATCATCGCTTTAAAGGGGCACAACCGTTTTCTGCGATAGTACAAAAAAAGCACCGCTGCATAAAGTAACATTGCATTCACTCCGTATCGCAGGGAACATGCGGCTCATCTATCGAACCACGTGGAGTTAAAACCATCTAGCATGCTCACTCTTTATATATGCAAGAAGCAAACGATTTCAAGTTTAAAGAATTGATACTTTCCCAAACACCGACAGATAAGAGTTGGCAGAAGAAGACACTGGTCGGAACAAAATACAGAGCTACATAGGACAATGGGCATCATGAGAGACGTCACCAAACCAAAAAGTGCAAGCTTTGATCGACCATAAATGATTGGGCCATTCATGGTAAAGAACACAATTCTCTTCTGCACGTGACAATCGGACCTGTCGGTAGGTTACTGTTTAAACCAGGGGTCTCAAACTCATTCGAGTGCGGGGGCCGGATAGCCCAACACTGAAAGGACGAGGGCCGATGGGAGAGGTGCAATACTTTGATATCCTGGGACAAAAAATGTAAACAAACAGTAGAGGTGTTTCACACTGCAAAGCAGCCGAGTGCCCCAGCGACACCCCAGAGATTTCCTAAAAAGGAACCTTGCTCTTTCTGCTTTTTGTAAGCTCACCGTTTTGCCATCTTTAAGTTTCATTTGCATACACAACAACTTCTCATGCCTGGTGGTATGAGAAGATTTAAAACACCACCACACCGCAGTACTGGCAGTTTTTAATAGAGCGAGAGGAAGCACACCGTGCCTGCCGTCGCAAAACTGACTAGACTCAACGGGCATATAAAAATATATCTTCATAGGGCAGATTTTGCTTTCCTGACGATTTGTATAGCAGCGTTATAAGGAAATAGTCATTTTAAAGATACCATCTGACGGCTAGAAGCCCGAGCTCATAGCCTTATCTTTGGCAGTTTTTTCTGTTGAGCGAGGGTTCAAGCATCCAAGGTGTCCCCTTGGGCAAAGAACTTGCGCTTGTAGCTTAGCAGCTATTATTTATGGCGCACGTGGCGCACGAGGCATGGGAAGGGGGCTCGCAGCCACAGGATGATTGCGAGCCGCTTCCCAAAGGGTTGCCGGCCGTGTGTTTGAAACCCCCGGCTTAGACAGTCACAAAAGATCACGATAAGCTATACAACTCAAACTATTACAACAGCTCTAACCGCACAGCGGTACGATGCAAACTTTGTGCACGAATTAGGCACCTTGCAAGTAAATCGAAACAACATCTAGCCAACAAAGTGCTCGGATTATGTTAGAATTAATTACCCGAAAACACAAGTCATCCCGGCCTCGAATTAACGACCCCGTACGAACAAAAACGCAATGAGAAAGGCAAGCCCCTCCACTCACCGCGCGGAAGCGACAACACGAGGTTTTCCGAGTCCTCCTCCAACGAACAGATGGGCTCAAATGCGCTGATGTCCATGAAAGGCGCTTCCTCTTCGTCATCGGTGTCGTCGTCATTGCCACCGCCGCCGGCCACAACACGCTCTCCGTAGCCGTCGGTGGCTTCCGTCTCTTCGCCGCTCTGTGTCTCGTCGGCTTCCCTCTTTACCGCGGCGCTTGTAGCCGCACGACCCTTCGCACCCGCGGCTCGCTGGTAAACCTTCCTGCGAGCCTCTTCGCTTCGCTGGTACACCCGCTGAATCGTGGCCGCATCCGGGCCGCTGTTGTCTCCGTCGTATTCGTCTTCGGCGTCCCGGCTGCTGTCCTCGCTGCTCGTCTCGCGGAGGATCTTGCGCCGCGGATGGGGCCGGCGGACGGTAATTGGCTTCGACTTCAGCTTCGACTTCAACTCCTTGTCCTCCACCTCGACTAGTTCGGCCAGGTACGACTCGTTCTCCAGCTCGGACTCTTCGCCGGTAGGCGTCGATCCGCGGGTGCGCCGTAGCCGCATCCACAGCACTGACGTGAGGCAAGGGACGAACAAAAAGAAAAGAGATTGGTTGGTTACTGCTACCATGCCCCGCCAAACTTTGTTTCGCCGTGCGCGCCGGCAAATCTAAAGCTATGGAAACATGCGCGTTGCCTCAAGCAACAATCTCACTGAAACGAGTGTGCGGCGTACGAAGCTTTAGACCTTCCGCTTCGCCCGCACGTACGGTGAAAAGCACCATAGTCGTGCCAACAAACAGAACTGCAGATAGGCCGCATGGCCAAATGTTGAGATTAACTCAATTGTGAAACTCTGACGCGAAAGGGGAAATCCCCTTGTGTGTCCCTTGCAAGAGGGATCATGTTCCAGATTAGGAGCAATTATGATCCCCAATCACCCTCCATCGCTCCTACGACAGTGACAAACGGCTTGCAAAATATTTTAGAGTATCGTCCGTGACGGAAGTGAGTACATAATACATTTAAGCTGCGTTGTTGTAGGTGTCGAACACGTTTCAAGGACATGCTTCCTTCCATGGCAAGTAAAACCCCCGGCAACTGTACCTAATATGCTTAAATAAGATCATACCGAGTTGCCCCTAGCCCCCCGAAAATGCATAAATGTGCGTTCCAGTCGCTCTCAAAGCAAAGAGCCGCTAATCTATGGTATTTATGCGGAGCGCAAGTTTGTCCGCTTCTTTTGCAGGGATTATATTGATGTCTAAACGCCAAGCTGTGATTGGCTCTGGTCGAAGGATAGTGGGTAGACCTCAAGCAGCTTGCTTTGAGGTCTACCCCCTTTCCTACAATCAAAGCCAATCAGAAATCGTCGTCGTTCTGACGTCACCGGCACCCCCTGTGCAGGGAGCCGACGACTCGCTCTCCGTACACACAAAGTCCGCTAGCGGACAAAAATACCTTATTGGCCTTGCAACGTCTAACACTGTCTGTCGCCTGCTGTTGTACAGCATCAACAGGAAGCTCCGCAACCGAGAATATCCAAAATTTTGGTGATGGAAGCAAGAAAGGGTGACGTGCTGCACACTATGTACGAAAAGTGTAAGCACAAAAACTCTCATTCAAGCACCGCACATACATTGACACGCTATGCACATGAACGCAAACGGAAGCAAGCTAGTCACCACAAACGGCTGAAGCTGCACTGGCAAACACGTTAGAAACAGCAGAGTAGGCTCGCGATAATTAGAACCGAGATTTCATACTTCCAATTAACTCCCAACAAATCTAAAAATCTTGGTTGTCCCCCTATGTTCTGAATGTACTTGTAATCCGCCTAGTTCGAACTGCATTTTCGTGCAATTGATGCTTTATGTTCTCGCGGCCCCCATTGGGAGTGCACTTCTTTCCAAACGCCGATGCACTGCAGAGAAGCAACACCCACAAAGCTCGCTTCCGGGGGTGTTGCTTGTCCGCAGTGCATTGGTGCTCGGCGAGAAGCGCACTCTACGGGGCTAAAGCAGGGGACGCACGAGCGATGAAAACGGGCGCCTCGCGGCAGTTTCTACAGCAACTTACGCGGACGCCGTGACGTGGCATAGGTCTACGTCGCAGCACCTGCACAAGTTGCTACGGAAGCTGCCGAACAGTGCCCGCTTTCGTAGACAACTTTTTTGTCGGATGAACAGACTTAATTTTTTAAGCGTCATGCGCTAACAGTCCACAATAAACAACCTTGTTGAGGAACGAATAAGGTTACGTCATACATTTCACTAATGTTTCACGTGTGGCATACCTGCTCATTAGAAGAACTCGTCAAATATCTGCTTCGCAGGTTTAGCCATCCGTACAGCAAATCATAATTTTCTCTCGCGTCAAATTTAGAAGAATTTCTGGTAATTCAAACAATAATTCGTAGCTTCGTGGAACTGGAAATAATGAGAGTCTATCGAATATTGCAACATAAGGAGGTGACAAGAAGCCTCTTGCACAAAAGCTTTCTGCTTCCAACAATGTGCGATTTCCTCCTCTCTAGCATTCCTTCTGCTAAGGTGGAAAGAGGGGAGGGCTTCGCAAGAGAGGCTTGCTCCGCCATTCTAAACCCGCAACCGACCGTCGTCAACGTGCAAGCGCAAACTCTGAGGCATCGGTCGTGTGCCACGCACAAAGCGTGCACACGCAAACACTGCCATCCCCACGCCACGCGCACAAACATACATAAACGATAGTGGAGGAAGGGGGCGCCACTCACGCTGCACGTCCCGCACCCGCTTCTCCGAGATGCCGTGCACCGCCATGAAACCCGCCTTGCACACCCTCTCCTTGGACCGCCCCACCTCGCACGCAGGCATCCAGTACATCCACTTGCACCTGCCCTTGCTGGGGACCTTGGAGCGCACCAGGCCCTCCGAGTACATCCTCGCTACCAGCAGGCGCAGCTGCCTTTCGGGCCGCAGTCGCCCAAACTCCGCGTGCAGACGCTCCTTGAAGGCAGCAGACAGCTTGTCGTAGCGGCAAGTCCCCAGGCGGCAGAGGCAGGCCAGACGTAGAGGTCGCAGCGTGTGGTAGGGCAGTCGCAGGCGACGCGCCGGTCTTGGTGTGCTGCCGTCCTCTTCCACGGGCGGCGTCGCTGCCGCCGCCGCAGTCGTTGCGTTACGCCGTTTGACGCCGCTCCCGGCTCCGTTGCTCTTCTTGTCGCCGTCCCCCGTGTTGAGGTACGCCTGCCACTGCTCGAGGACTTGGTCCATGTGCACCTCCTTGTTCTCCTTCGCTGTGATTGGTCGACGAGTTCGTGGGCTGTTCCGCGACGGCGTCCGGTCGGTTGTACGGAGATGGACGGACGTGCGACCCGTGCCAATTTCTCGGCTCGCGCCGTCGTGCGGCTCTACGGCGCGAGAATCGTTCGCTCCTTGCTTCCAATGCAAACCGTATGGCTTGCTTATGATTTAGCGAAAAATGAAACCACTGCACTATATATGCTGTAAAGACTCCTATCTCGTTGTTGGCGCGCTATGGCTTTGGATGCTGCGCTGCAATTTAACGCCAAAAATTATCCGTGAAGGCTTCTCACGATGGTCTCGCTTTCATATATAACTGAATATATTAAAAAAGAAAAAGCAATTTGCATATTTGGCAGAGTATCAATTAAACAGTCGAGAGTCACTTCCTAGGTTAGATCAACATGTCATAGACGATTACCCTGAATAAAACTGAGGCCCTAGCCCGAACCATACTCCGACAACACGTCGAACGCCAAGCGCACGCGTACAGCAACTGGCTTGCGCCACGGAAACGACCGCGGCTAAAGATGAGAAGAGACGCGCAAAGAATGCATTTAACTCTAGGACTTCAGAAGGGCACGCATTGCGTGCCTCTTCGTGACGGAAACTCGAAATCCGGTTTCCGAACGTGGACGACGCGTGGAATGGTGTGAACCTCAATCACCGGTTACCACGCCTGGCCCTGGAGAGGCAACGTTTGTTACACTCGACCTGTCTTGTCGCCGCCCTTTTGTCAACCTACAAACGCCTTAGCCGCAAGTGAGTGTAAAGAATGGAAGGGAGAACTGGGGGAAACAACGACGACTCCCCGGAAAAACCCCGCGACATATCTCACCGCTGGCGGCCTTGGTGATCTTGAGCGCCGGCTTTGGAGGCAGCCTCTTCTTCTTGGGATCGTCGAGGTACCGCGCGGTGGGCGGCAACGGGGCCGGGTGCTGGCGCGGAAAAACAAACGTGCAACTTCAGCGACTAGGAAAAAAAAAAAACATGACGGCACAATTCCATGTTTGAGTGTGACAGGGCGCATAGCAACCACTTGAGGACGCTCTAGCGACGAGAGGACGTGCCAACGCCGTTTATTCGGTGGGCCCGGAGCATCTCCGATCTGCGCACAACTGGTCCGAAAGGTTTTCGCGGCATTTGATGGATGGAGCCTATGCACCATCCACGAGAAACTGTCGCTTCCAATGTCGGCAGAGCCATTCGAAGCCCACGGTAAAACGACGATGCATACAAAACGTGAATACTTATGCGGATAGAAAGTGCTCCAATAGATGGCGCCGGTGCCACGATTCACGCGACGCGATGTTGTGAAGTGCGACAACACGTGGCACTTCGCTTCTCGTGGCAAGGGCCGCGACGTCAAACCGACAGCTTTGCCCCACTGCCGACTGTCTCTCCCGTGGCCTCGGTACGGCGCGTCCTACGCGAGCGAGCAAGGTCCGCGAAGGGTTCCCACACAAAGTCGTCGCTCGAAAAATTAACCCCCATTTACGCGGAGCCCTCCTCGTTTGCACGACTGCTTGCGGACCACATCCCTGACCCCAGGCATTAGTCCGAGAAAATGCAGTTACTAACTCGAAAAGTAAATATGTTGCTCCTTACCGCGATTCGAAAGGAACAAGTTGCCTTGGCTCGAAGTAACGCATTGTTTTCTCGTCGCTCTGAATGTGTCATTCTTACGAAGCAGTAGCCACTCCAAATCTCGTCCTTAGTAATACCCATTTTCTTAATTGTCTTCGTTCGGGGATAACTGCGGCAGTACCGACATACATTGTGCACATCTTGTTACGGTCTACCTGGCGGTTTTTCGCCTCACAAATCACAGGCAGGAGTCGGGGCGAAAACTAAATTGGATGAAGTAGATACCACTTATAACGATCATGAGAAAACCCAAAATTTCAATCGTTAAAACTGATTATCGTTGTATCTGGACAAGAAATTGATTATTTCCAGTCTAGAAGCTCTAGAAACTGATTGTTATAAGCGGTACATCGTTATATGTGGTATCGTTATAAGTGGATTGGACTGTACTTGCGTCGCAGATCCTCCAGCACTACACAACGTTACTCATTCCTTCTCTTAAAGGGGCCCTGCAATGACTTTTTGACTGGTTTCATTTTGCACCGAACCTGAGCGCACTGAACGTAGTAACTTAATAAAACTTTTCTTTTCTCAAATTTCGCATTATTTTAAAAGTTATAGGCGAATTAGAATTACAAAAACAAGCAAAAAATAACCTCCTTCATGACGTAGTAGGTCCTGGCTTGAGTGGCCATGAACTAGAGGAGGGGTAGTGAGCTCATCGAGCGTTCACGGTTGCCGCACTCCGGGTCAACGGCTCGAGAGGGCGCCACTAAAGCATATGTTGGATAGGCTCTATGAAGCGGGCGGCCGGGGCGGCTCGGCATTGCATTTGCTGCGCGATTAAAGACTATTTCGGCATAATACTTCATTGGCCACAGACGACAGCAAACACGGGGTAAAGATCAGTTCAGAACGGGAGCCACTTCGCGCTGCTATGCCGCCAAATGGCCAAATCGCCAGCAGGGCCCGCGCCGAAGGCCTTCGGAACGCTCGGAACCGGTCGGATCGTTGAGCCGGTGTACGACCGCAGCGCCGCCGCGTACATCCGGGGCTTTTCTACGCTGGCCGTTCGTCGTAGCCTCATCCCACTAGTTATTTCTAGTATGCGCCGTTTTTTCCGCCGCTTGGTGGCGAGTATGTCGACGGGTCTTTTCTTGTTTCCGTACTTTATAAACTGCATTTGTTTCTTTTCTAATCTAAAATACTGAACAAAAACTTCTTTTATAAATAATTGAAACGGGTCGCGCCAGTTATATTTTGTATTTCGACTACAAAAAAGCTTTTAGCGGCTCTGACCAGTAGTAAGCCTAGGACCAAACACGTCACGTTTTGCACGCTTTCGGTACCGCGGGCCGCCCTCGTCGGTGGAGGTGGTTTCCACGTCGTCCGGTTAAAATATGACACACTGATATTTAGTTACTCTCTCCGTGCCCGCTGGCTTGCCCGGACCCCAAGAGACGTGGAAACCGCAAAAAAGGTAGACGCTTAAATATGATTGCAGGGCCCCTTTAAAAATTAACCGGGTTATCGCCTCGTTAAGCAAAAAAGTAACGACGTAGAAGAGCCTGCACTCACCTTGGCGACCGGAGGCGGGGCCGTGGCCGACGCGGGCGTGTCCACCTTCCCCAGCACAGACGTGCCGGCCGGCACCGCAATGGCGGCGCCCACCGGCACCACCGGCGAGCCCCGGGTGGTCTCCGCCACTCCCGCGGGTTTCGAGACCGGCACGGGCACGGGCACCCGCACCGTCGTCGTGGAGGAGGAGGCGGGACCGCCCGAGACTCCGCCCACGGGGGTCCCGCCCACAAGGGTGACCCCGCCCCCCTGGTTGGGGGGACCCCGCACGAGGGTGGTGCCCGGCGGGAGGGTGAGGGTGGTGCCGCCGCGCGGGAGGCTCAGCGGGGGCGGAGCCCGGATCATGCGAACCTGGGATCCCGCCGGCGCCTGGACCATCATGGTGGTGCCGGGGCCGCCGGGCCCGCCGGGCATCGGGGTCAGGCTGCCCATGGTGATGGCGTTGCCTGGGACTGCGGGAGGGAGCCCATTTGTGCGGGTCGTTGACGGCTGTTGCCACGGAAGTACGGCGGCAATTGCCGCAATGTCTCGAGAGATAACCCACCCACATTTTTGGCATGCCCCGCTATTTTTTTTTTTCAAAAATGGCGGGAGTTAAGCGAACGTTGCCGACTGGGAAGGACAGTTGCCTTCAGCTCGTCGCCACTCGCCGCAATCGCAAGTTTGGAGGTCACAAAATTTGAATCTAGCATTTTTCAAACATTTTTTTTAAAATTGCGCTTTATAAGCAAGCCTACTCTTCATTTTCGCCCGATTTTAGCTAGGCTACCTCCGGGACACAACGACACGAATTTGAAACTTCTAAACCGAAACAGCTTGCCAGCACTGCACATGCTCCCACTAGATAATTAAGAAAAAAATTCTGTGCGCCGACCCTTTCTTTATACCGTTCCTTTGGAAACATATCCTGACCACCAGGAAACATCTTCCGCGAAAAAAGCTAGACCGTCAAAGGGTGAATTGGCACCACGGTGCCAATATTGATGAAAAATGACGGACAAATGCAAAACCGAAATTAAACATTTAATGAGGCCAGCTAGTGCCTACAAACTGAAAACAGAGAGGCACCGTCATTGTGCGTCGGACATGGAAGGACAACAGTCTCGAAGCAGCTAATTGCTGCTGCTACAGTACGGGCATTCGTTCAGGAACGTTCCGAACCAGAATCCGACAGTCGAGAAAGAGCTGGAACTCTTCAGTGGGGCAGAAAATCATTAAAAGAAAGAACCGGGTCGAGCAGCGTTTGGACACCCGATTCCTTCACCTTACCAGCTACGCCACGCCCGCAACGATAAAAGACTGTCTGCTTTGATTTGTACCTTGCAAGTTTTCTCAGTCACAATTATTGTACGCCTAGTTAGATGAATACGATAAAGTATAGGGATTCATCCAACCTTAGATTTTTTTTTTTCTATGTTTAGTGTAACCCTAACTTTTGTATTTAAATGCCTGTTGGCGGCAAAAACAAACTCATCATCATCGTTTCAGATGTCACAGGTACCACAGACTGGGACAGATCGCGCAGATCTTGGATTCCTCGGCTCCTCAGCTCGCTTCACGTGCTGTTCGGGTAACGCGCAGCAAATCCTGTTTCACGCGTTGTGTTCGTTTGGTGAGGTGATACTTGTAACAAGACATTTTACCAAAACTTGAAACCGTGGCACACATAGTCGTGCTAACAAACACTTTTTGTGCTGAGGTGTCGAAGCACTGGGATAGTAGTAGTGTGCTGTTCCCCAGTACAAAAAGCTGGATGACGAAAATAGAATTCCGTCCACCACGGCAAATAGGGTGTATTTTTTTTATTATGTTTGGATAAACTAAAACTGAGAAAGGAATGTCTCATCAAATTGCAAACGGGAAGCGAAATTCGAGAACCTCTCGCACGTGTAATAAACACTCAAGTGAAAGCGTCTCCATGTATCCTCTTGGTTCCACAGTGGTCTGCGACTGCTGGTCTCTTAATAGTTCCCAGTTGGTTCCTTTCTTAATTTTGTAAACCAGTAAACAAACATTTTCTCAACTCGGAGGAAGAAGCAGTGGCTGGCTTCCGGAGTTGTTTCAACTAAATGCGTGTGTGTTCACCAGGTCGAAGCGAAACGTGCGAGATCCCCTTGCGATTGAAGTCCCAAATCCACGAAGTCGGCGACACTTTAGCATCCTAAAAAATGAGCTATGCGCCGAGAAACTGAAGGAGAGGAGGACACAAAAGCGCGGGGACGTCAGAACGCCGAGAAACTGACGAGAAGAAGAGAAGTCTACCCACGAATCATTCGTTAGTGGGTAGACCTAAAGCTAAATGCCTGCGTCTCCACTGAACTCGTCCAACACTGGGCTCTTGCATTCTAACGCATTCGACTAATCGTTCAAATCACAGCTCGGCTCTTTGACGTGCCTGCGCCTCTCGTTTTCTCCTCGGTTTCTCTGCGCATACACTTGGTATGCATTACTACCGTATGTATGCTTAATTTTGGGGACCCTAATGTGCAAAAAACGGGATGCGTTTCTCAGCGAGCGATTTTAAATTTGTAAACAAATCTTAGTGAAAATTGGATAGAACAAATTAATCAATGACCCGATTTTGTCCAGTGCTACTGCTGGTGAAAGTGGCACGAATGCTGTCGTAACAAGCAACCGAAGCAGCAGCGTAAAAATCCAAGCCCAAATACAGCAGTGTACCGATCAAGCTTCGCCCCTGCGGGCGCATGTTCACTTCAGTCGTCTACACCGGAGCAGTACATTGCCTATGGCTTTTCAAGCGTTTCCAAAGTAGACGCGTCATTACGGGTCACTCTCGAAAACTCTAGCAAGCATTCCGAGGCATTGTTTGGACGGTTGAAAAAACCGATTGCAAAAGTGCACAAGACTAACTCTAGACTAGGTCGTACGAGCGAGTAGTAGCGGTGGTAGTAAATGAACGAATCTGGCATTTCTTTGTTTCTTTGCGTTGGTTCAGCTCCAGTTGCTTTATCAAGTTTTCCCTTTGCTTTGGCAGCTTTGGTTTTGCGTTATACCCCAACCTGCGCCACCCATTTCACCATTTTTCCTGTGCCGTGTAGGCTCGTTTCGTTCTTCGCGACACCATCGCAGCACTGCTTGTTTTTGAACTATTGTTTTTTTTTTCTTCTTGTGTGTGTGTGTCTGTGCTTAAAAATGGTAAGTTTGGATTGTATGTTTTTTCCAGGTAATACCTTTTTTTTCTTCTATCGGTTTCTTCAACAATGTATCAAAGAGGTTCTACTGCACTGGCTTACGGTCGAATATCACCACAGGCACACGTTGAAAAACACCGGGCTAGCGCTGGCTGAATTTGTCTACGGCGTAAACCGGCATCTGCCGCATTTCACGGGCAGATCGACCTTACGCTGTCGAAACACGGTTGTCAGATTCGTTCTTTGTTTGGGCACGGAAGGTGCAGTTTTTTTGCCCTGCACAGAAGGCTACCGTCGCGCACCCTACCAGGATTTCTCCGGCCCAACGCACCTGTGGTGAAGCCACCCTGCGGCGAGGCCATGCGTAGTAGGATCGTCTGCATGGGCATGGCGGTGCCTGAACCTGGCGTTCCCGAGATGATCCGGGGCCCAGACTCCTTGGGAGTCACTACCATCCCGGGCGGCAGGCTGGGCACCAGGTACGTCACCCTCGGCTGCGCCATCATCGACGGCGTCAGCCGGAAGCTGCCGCCCGCCTGCGTCACCACCCCCGACGACACCGCCGTCGCCGCCCGCAGCACCGGCTGGCTGGCCGAAGGGGTCACCTGCGGAGACAGAAGAGCTCGATTGCGCCGAAAAAGACAAGAAAGCACAAAATATCACATCTTTAATTTTTTACAATTTTTATGAAAATTAGTTTCAGTTTAGTATTGTTGGCTTGTTTGCATTCAAATAAAATTGTTTACCCTTCCAGGGCAGTCTTGCTACGCAGTCCGGTAGCCTAGGAATTTGACTGCCACCGAACCAGGTTTGAGCCCCAGGCGTCTTTCTTGTGTCGATTTAATCTGGGCCTTTGTAAGCTTTATATGCGACCTCAACGCCGTACAACGCTCTCAGTGTGTCGGTCAGTCATGGCGCCGTAAACAGCTTGTCAAGACGCACGTTTGTTTACTAACACGTGCCGGAGGCCACCTATGCGAAAAACACGCCCTGCCGTTCCCCGTCTGTTGGTGACAACATGGTGCCACGGAACCGTGGTAACATGGCCGGTTCCTTCGGGGTGGCATAGCGTCAGGTCAAGTGACGTCACGGGGTCAAGCAATGCTGTCCCACCTCGCCGAGTCACATATTGTCGCATCACGTGACTGACAAAACGACACGTCACGATGCAGTGTCGCGTAACATCGGCGTCGTGCTGGCAAGCCAACCACAAACTCGGCTACCTCCACATTCCCGTTGCCTGGCAACGGCAAAGCTAAGCTCTCGAGCTCGGCAGCTTTTCAAAGACGTGGCATTCCAGAGTCCTCACCTGAACGAGCGACGTCGGAGCGGCGCTCAGCACAGGAATGGCCGACGACGGCATTGAGATCTTCTGCACGGTGTTTCCGGCCATCGACATGGCAGGCACTGCAAAAGAATAATAATAATAAAAAAAGAAAGTAAAGGCGTAAAAACTTTGTTTGCGTAGAAACTTTGTTTGCAAAACTTCGTCGCAAAGAATGTATTCTGCTTCGTTTCGCGGCGACTGGAGGCACAAAATAACCAACGCCTCGTGGTAACGACACCCCGGCCATCTCGGTGCTCAAAATGGCGGTAACCAGTTATCCAAAGATTTAACTGTAATCGCGAGAGACGGCTTTCCGTCCTCCAGAAACATTGAAACGGTCCGCGCCTGAGCAAAGCGATGTAGCCTGAGCTTCCCGACACAGCGCCCGAAGCTTAGCGAGTTCCGTTTTCGAACTGCAACGGCTGCCAATTGCACCCGCTCCGTACCGGGCACCAAGATGGCGGCGCCCACACGACGATCGGAGAAGGAAGCGTCGGTACTCTAAGCCAGTGGTTTTCGAGCGTAGATGTGTCGGGGACCTGCTAAAGTGATGGGGGACTTCGTGCCAGCAGGAGAAAGGAAGGATATAAAATAAGACAAGTAATTGCAGTATGGAAAAAGCATCCTTTACCGTTATAGACAGGAGAAGGGAGAAGCACCAAGTAAAAGGGATGAATGGGTGCATAGATGGTAATGACAGTACTCTTAATAACGGGTCGTAGTCCACCTAGTCCAGTCTAGCAAAAAAAAAAAAACCCCTCCATTTTTAAGAAAAGAGGGGGGGGAAACTGGGTGCCCCAAAAATGGCTTCTCGGACTCCAGTATGTCCGCGGATCCTCGTTTGAGAGCTCCTGCTCTAAGCGTGGCTCGTTCATTGGGTCTAGCAGTGACGTTGCACGGGGAAACTGGGCCTGCGTCTTGCACCTCGACGTTGCAAGTGTCAAGGTATGTGGCGTCTCCGAAGGACAAGTCTGCATCCCTCGCACTAGTGCAGTCCAGCTTGGCTCTGCCATTGTGCGCCTCCCCATTATTTTCGAAAGATACGCTTTACCGCGTTTCAACAACGGGGCCAGTCGAACACCGCCAAATGTGCGAGTCACCGGGCCTTCCCTGTACACGACTGGTTCGGCGATGATAGAACACGTAAAAAAACACGACGAACATCATGTTGGCGCACTTTTGATGCCGTTCTATTGGTCCTGCCAGCTCGTAGCGGCTTTCCACCAAAGTCTATTTGTGGTCGTAGCTCAATCTATGGACTCCCAACTAAAAAAATCGAACATTACATTCATGCCTGCCCGATTCCTCTATTAAAATCAATGTCCCAAGATAGATTACCAGAGAACCGTCGCGGACACCAGAGGGATGACTCCCTCTAGTGTTGATCTTTTGATACCGATCTTAATAAGAGAACTCGACCAGCATGAGGTAACATTTTTTTTTTAGGATGCTTGGAGCCCATAGATTGAGTTATGGCCCTAAAAAGACTATCGAAGAAGGTCCTTTAGTGGCCCTTTAAAGGGGCCCTCCGGAGCTTTCTGCGATCGTCTGTTTATATTGTTATATTGCGTAGTAGGTGCAAGTTAATATATATACAAAGTTCCAGATTACAAAACCGTTTATTAAGCAGATGGCAGAAGAAATATATCGGGACAATTTTCTCTTGGAAGACAATCCCCCATTCCCTGCCCATCGCTAAAACTTGACCAATGGAAATGCTGCGTCCCGCGGTGAATGCGAACGTTATTATTGCAACATTTTTTAAGCTTGTTGTAAATTAGAGTTTGAGAAAAACGTAAACTGATTGTGGTGCGGGAAACACAGTCCGCAATTATCGCTCCAAAACCAGCGAACTATGTTTTCTCCCCGCAAGCTTGTTGCTAGGGGGTGATGCGTCGGCGCGTCAGCTCGTCTGCTTCCCGGGGCTTCTGCAGGCATGCGTTTGCGGGACACATATTCCTTCTTCCCGTGGATCCCGACTCCGAAGCCAGCTTTGCGATCCTTCCACATCAACGAGTCAAACTTTTCCTTGTCATCTGTGGGACGCGTAGCAGCGCGACGGTGCGGTGCGACGAACGACGACTGCCGAGCACAAAGTCCGGGTTCCTTGACGACGGTCTGCGCGTGTTCGAGAGATTCCTCCGCGGGTCGGCGGTCGGCGGCGCTGGTGACGCGCAGTGACGCCGGGATCCTTGGCTTGCTATTGGCTGACGCGTAAAGAGATGCCCCTCCCGTTTTCCGGGGGCATCTCAGAAAGGGGGGCGTGCCGGGGACTTTGATAGCAATTTTAGTAGGGGAATCCGCCGCGCATGACCGTAATTTTATGATTTTTAGGATCCTTAGGGCCTGCAAATTGAGTTACCGCCATAAATAGACCATCGCAGAACGCCCCGGAGGGCCCCTTTAAGGCGAAGCAAAGTATCATTCTTTTCCCCCTTGCATCCTAAACTCTCCCACCACGCGTGCAAGTGCCCTCGCTCGTCACCTCCTACACGAGGACGTAGCGCTAGACTTTCTAAAACGTCGTGTAGCAGGGGCCGCCGCGGGGCATGCATTACACGGGAGTGCTACGTCAACGATTGACTCGAGCAAGGTTTTTTATTTTTCCCCTCGCACGCCGAGCGCAAGTTCTGCCTTTGGTAACGGTGTGTCACGCCCTGGGTCGAATATTTATTTACGAAGGGCACAATGGGCAAAAAGTCACTCGACGTCCGCATGCTGCTGAAAGATAAGGCAGGCTTGGAGATGCATGCAGTGCGAGTTTAAGAGGCTTCACATAAAAATTATACTTTTGATACAAGTTCTATCATGCCATAGCACGTTAGTACATGGAGGCTTCTTTGTTTTGTGAATAATTAGAGACTGTTGGTGCACCTAGGGGAGACTACCCCATTGAGAGAGGCAGGGGGAAAAGGGAAACCGGAACCACGCTCGGAGCTCGAGGGGTTATTGCACGGCAAAGAAAGAGTGACCACTGACTCGAGATGACTTTGGCGTGTCCCTCTTCCTCCTGCGTGAGGTCGATGAACTTGACCGTCTGGGACACCGTGGATGGGGTGGACGACGCCGAAGACACCACCGCGACCGTGCGGACCACCGTGCCGCTTGTTGCGGTGCCACTCGGCAGCGACACCGACTTCACCTGGGAGGAGCAACGTTCGATGAGCCCCGTGAGAAAGCCCCCGTAAGCTACGAGCGCCGACAGCTTAGAAGGGGAGCTCCGGCGAAATTTCGCTAGCCGCATATTCGCCTCGAAATAGGTTCGGCGCATTATTAGACACGTCTGAACAATCACGAGTCGCAATAATTATTTTCCGTAAAGTTATTGCATTTTCGAGCTTGGTCCGAGAGGCTCTCTCAAAATGCGACGCGAAATGTTGTAACACGGGAGCAGTACAACTTGTTACCTACTGATTACAAGAAGTTTGATGGTGCATTATTAATGCTAAAAAAAAAACATGTTAAAAAGAACGAACCTCGAAATACTGTGTTTCTAATTTTTAGACGGCCTGCTCGACTCGTTGCAGGCTGTACAACAGGCAATGTCGTCCCGCTGGACCGCGAGAAAATTCAAACGTTGGTCTTGACGCAATTTTTCATTTCTTTCAGTTTTCTATATACTAGCTATTTTGAATTTAGAGATAATGAATAGCGTGCCGAGAAGACTAAAGCACGAACATTCCAAAAATGAGCTTAGTTTGGCCAGCTAAAAACAAACAACGCAAAAGCCCCCTGAGGCACAGAACGTGGAAAGTCCCGAACGTATCATTACCTCTACGCAGCAAACAAGAATGCGGGATTAGCCGATGCAAATGCCAAAGAGCCAATCATGAAACGCAAATTAACATCAAGACACACACGCAGGCAGGTGCAATCCGATGCAAAGATGCCTTGCCGCCGAGAGTCCGTTGCCACCGAAATCTTAAGTCAGCAGCAAAAAACCGCCCCCACGTTCGAAAGAGAAAAAAAAATGCTGACATGATCAATCGACAGTTTAACGGAGAAACGCACGGCACTTCAAAATGGCATTTCTAGGCGCACAGTTTTGACTGTCCTTGCCAACTATCTCTAAAAAATAATCCTTTTCTCGATGTAAAAACGAAAAAAAATTTGCATTTAAAGCTGCTGCGTGGCATTCATTACAAGTAATATTAAGAAATCTTCGTAGTCTGTCTTTCTGGGATGTCTGAAAATGAACAGACCACACGCAAAAATGTGCGACTACCGCGCCAAAACCAAGTACTACTGATACTTTTTTTTTTTGTCAAAATAGTTGAGGAATGCAAACACTGCCCAAGGAAACTGTTTGTGCCACAAATTAAAGAGTAATCTTTTTCGGAATTCTTGACGCCCCACAGTGATACCTGCTAGACACTGAGGCGTTTCTCCCACAAAGCATATGGCACGCTGGAGTTTCAATCCCTACACACAGTCTTCAGAGCTTTTGCATACACACACTGGTCCACTGCCACCACCAAACTAACGCACATAAACAAATTTTTTCCTTCCCGACCCTCCAAATATTTCCAGACCATTCCAGACTTTCCCCGCATCGGACACAGCCAATAGACCCTCTCCGAAATCCAGCCTCACCACTCTAATCCCTCTTGCCAGAGCGTACCCCACCTCTGCTATTCTAATGGTGGCTTTCCGACGACCGATAGTTAAAGACGCGCTCCCCAAGCGGACGACACGAGGCCCCTGCATACGAGACGTCTGCACGATTCGACCAACGAATTGGATGCGGGTTCTTTTTCGGCGTTTGTTTCATCGGCGTTGAAACTACCTACTGGAAAACGCTCTACTCTGCAAGAAGGCCCCTCGATGGGACGAATCTCGTCGGGTGCCTTACTCAAGTCGGTGCTTCGTACAAACCGGTCACTTCTTTCCCACCGTCCAAACACAAACGAAGAGAGCACGCGACAAAGATGAAACACTCTAGTTCGCCGTCGACATGCACCGCAGTCAACGAAATGCTGCGTTACGAAAGCAGCCGGTCGTAGTGTGGGCGACGCTCACCTGTTGAGAAGGAGTTCCGGTGTTGGCGATCAGCTGGACGGGTACGGGCATGCTCGTGGGCGTGCTGGGGCTGGCCACCTGCAACTAACGGCCGCAACCCTGAGGCCCCGACGCCAAACGCGCGAGTCCAAAGACGCCTGCCGGGCGACGTGGCACTACCTTCGGCTCGGCTGTCCCGCGACCGGCGTAAGCAGGCGGAGGGCTTTCCACCTCGGAGCGGGGCTTACGAGCTCTTTTCAAAAGGGCACGTTTTTAAATGACGGTGGTTAAGTACCGCTTGTCGTGACGAACTTCCGAGTGTTTTTACTTTCCGATACCATATTTGCACAAATATGACGAGTTTTTTTTCTTTTTTGTTTTTTCTCGAGTTCAGCTTTCAGGGATGCGAGTCTGGAGAGAGTCATCCCTCCGGCTCAATGCAGGGGATCGGCTGGGAAAAGAGCAGGCCGCAGAAATGCAGCCCGCCACGCCGGAATGCGGGCACTGGCCAATTCAAGCAGTGTCAAGTCAACACAAGCCAAGCCGAGATTACCTGTGGCTACTGTTTACGCAGTCGTGCAGCAAGAGGTGTTTGTTTATGTGGAGGGACCAGAACAAGAATGACCCAGCAGTCCTTTTTCTGCCTGCACATTTTTTCAGTTTCTGCTCCGGAGTGGTCTGGTGTTTGTGCATTGGTGCTTCTGCTTTGTACGCCCGTGAGCGATATGAAGGTGAACAGCCCTCTTCTTGTTTTTGACGCTCCTGCAAGTTTTGGAACAAGCTCTGTTCCAGAAGAGGGCTAGAACGCAAAGTTTAGACCCCAAGCCACCTACCATTTGAGACGCTGAGAGTTAATATAGATTCAGGGAGCCGTAAAACAGGCAAGAAACCAGGTAAGGTGTTCACCTTCATATTGCCGGCGGGTGTACCTTGCTATGCTAGTGGGCTGTAATGCCGATCATGAAAAAGGAACTACCAGACAAGCAGCGCCCTGGTGCTGCTGCATATCTGAGATGTGGCCAAGTGGATTGCAAACGGAAGGACCTGAGCAGTGAGGATGAGTCCAGTCAAAACATAAACTGAAATGTCTTTGATTTTCATGGCCTTTTCACTTCTGCTATGCGCCCGAGTGCAGTAAATTTATGCGGCCTAGGCTTGCGTTATAATAGTAATAATATTTTTTTTTTTCTTTTTGAGGTCATCAAAACCTGCCCTCGCGTTATATTCATGGTCGCGTTATATTCGTGCAAATATGGTTTCGTAAATTGCAGCAAAATTAGAATGCTAAAAAAAAAAAAAAGTTTGAAACTGATTTACGTTTAAACGTGAGATTTACGACAGAAAAATGTTTGTTCTTACCCCTGCAGCAGTTCCGTGTTTTATCATCACGCAAGTGCATTGAGAGATTGCGCTGCCAGTTAAATCCAGGCATTGCAGCGAAATGCGTAAAAGTGTAAAAGGTAAACTACCGTCGATAATACGCGACAGACAATAAAGCTACTAAAAGTGCATCCACAAACACAGTAAGGTACATGGAGATGCCAATGAACAAAAAATAGCCTGTGCAAATGGAAAACGCAAAACATGGGTGCAAGCTCAACACCAACAGCTACCATGCAAGACACCCAAACACAAACTCATGCCAAAGCACATTTGCAAAGCAAGAGGCGCAGTCAGCTTTTAGAGAAAGCTGACTGCGGAAACCGGGCTGAAAGAAATGACTCCCTGTTCAAGCCAAGCAACAACAAACAAAATATGGAAAGATACACATGCACCAGCAAGCATTAATGGGAAACCTGAAGCTAATTCCAGCCAAGAATCAAGCGAAGTTTCAAACGGCACTCGCCACACAACATAGCTTTCCAAGTTAAAGTATGGGCCACACAGCTGGCTAATCCCAAGAAACAAAGCCAAGACAATCCAGCTCCAAAAGATCGAAATGCATGCCAAGATATTGTGCTAAGCGCACTGGCAACCTGCCTCAAGCACTGAAGCACAAAAGCCAAGGTCAGCGAAACTCCAGAACGAGCAAGTTAATGGAATATGCACAGACGGACAGACGAACACAGACAAAATTTTAGGATTGGGGGTTACCATTTCAAAGCATTTTACGATATAACAAAGCCCCAAGACCCAAGCAGACAAGAGACAGCACCGCCATCACCACCACCACCGAAACAGCCAAAGGGTGCAAACAGGGCTCTGCCACCAGAACCATCAAACGGTGCAAACCGAAGGCTTTACACCGGAGAGGGCGTTTGCAAGGTGTTACCTGAGGGGGCATCCTCGTGACCACCGTGGTGGTGCCACCACTTGGTGTTGAAACAGTCACCAACTTCATGGCTTGGTTAGGCTTAAATCCCAATTGCTGCAGGGCAGTAAACAAGACACCCTCACAATCAGTATGCTTACACTTCATGAGACAAGCGAGCTGCTCATTGGCCAAACTCTTCCCCATCACCCATGTTGCTATGAAACACGCCCGATGGCCGAGCATCAGTGCCACTAGCCATTTCATTAGTCTCTGATGCATCGCACAGTGGCAACTGGATACTTATTAAGGCGAAAGCCCTATATGTCCCGTTACGCGAAAAGGCGGCGGCATTGTGCTAAAAGATGGCCAAAAAAAGTCATCAAGCACGCGCTGCTCAAGGTCAAAGTGGACGCGCCTCAAAGATAGAACACAAAGAAAAGCACAGCAACCCAGATGCTTCGTCACGGAAGCCGTGAAGACGGTGGGGGTCGCCGCGCATGCGCAGTGGGGGACCATGATGTTACCACCAGAGCGCCGTGTGCACCGGATACACACACATTGAATACAATACTGACAGAAACAACTTTAAAGGGACCATGAAACAACTTTTTTTTACTTTTGCTAAAATACTTTTACATTAAACATTCAATGTTCACTAAATGCCGAGCAGGTATCCGCTTTCGTTTCTGTTTATTAACTTCTATACAAAAAACTAACGAAATATTTAGGTTTTCTTCCTCTCAACAAATCGCAAAACAAGCCGCGGCATAATTTTTACGGTCGTGATATACTCTGTTACCGGAACCGGAAGTTCTCTCGGCAGTAGGAGAATGGGAGTGTTAGCGGAGGGCAGGCGGTGTGCCACAGGTCTTACGGTTTTACCACATGGTTTTACCGTGCTGATGGCACCGATGCCACCGACATATTACCTCAATCGGTGCCTCTCATCACCGAGATAGCCATGGACACATCGCAGCTGAGCAAAATTCAACTAGACATGTTGCCCTACAGCGACAGCATCCCATACGCCGGTACGCCTGTTAGAAAGTGCGGAGACTCTTTCGATGAAGACTCCAGTTCCTCGTCAAAATTGAACAGCTAGGATTGGCAACTCCAATCTACGGAATGTTCCGAGCATTCACGGATGACCTTAGACCTGGCGTCCCTCAAACCGATGAGCCTGTGCCATGTGCTTCACCGTGGTTCCTCGAGTGGCAAGCGGTAAAACTGCAGTCCTCTCTTTTTAAGCTCCGGACTGCACAAACAGTAATTCCGGCACTTGCAACGAGCGCGCTAGCTACGACTTCGTCCATTGTGACCGGAGCGACCGGAACAACCGCTCTGCGCCGTGTGTAAACACTCCTGCAACCACTGCAACAAGCGCTGCAGATCTTCAGCACGACTGCCGCTTCTCCACCGCCGTCGGCTGTTTCCGCGGTGCCTCTAAAAAGAAGGGGACGCGCTGCCACTCACTGGCGTAGCAGAAAATGGACAGAGTTTTCTACAGGCTCGAGCTTTATTAAGTTTTATTTTGTCAAGACAGGCTCGCAGGACAGAGTGGATGAAAAAAAAAAAAAAGAAAAAGATGCGGTACGCCAACTTGGACGATCACGACTTTACCGATAGCACAAATCTCGCCACGTGCCTTTTCCACATTGCAAAAGAAAATGTAATCTTCGCAACAATCTATCAACATAGAAATATTGTTTCGTGATCACATACACGTCGCGACCGTTAAGGAACGCTAACACTAATCGCTTTCTCGCGTGATGAAAATGCGCCAAAATTCACATCCTTCATACACGCCTTTAAATACAGTATGCACCAGTAATATCTTGATCTTGAGCACACGCAAGGAATGTGCAAAACAAGAAATCCCGGTGATGTTCGAGGACACAAATGCCAAGAAAGCACCACTGTAGTTGAAGTAAACAAAGATAACGGCAAGAGCGTTTCTGCTGTCTTGAGGGTGCCGCCAGAACATCGCCGCACGAGTAGATGGATGTTCCCTTCTAGGACGTGCTGGGCTATCATCGTGACACGCGATGAGAATTCAGTCGAGGAGAGCGCTCTACGTGGAACGACGAGCTTCCACCACGCCAACCACGTCGACGATCACCACCGATGCCTTGTTCTTCGGCAGATAGCAGGAACTGTGACCGGCATGCAACGCGCGCGGCCGAGCTCTCCTCAGCAGACGACGCTTCGTAGGTTGACAGCGCAAGCGCAGTCTCATCTTTCTCTCGCTTCGTTTACCACACGATAGATGGTGCAAGGCTCCGAGCACTATCAAATTTGCCAATCTCCACCACATCGCTAATTATGCTTCAAAATGTGGGTCAGAATATTCTTTAACAGAACTTTTAAGAAACATTTGCCAGCTCTTTACGTTTATGATTGCGGCGCTGGTGAGGCAGATTCTTATCCAATAGGCAACATAGATTTGGCTGACCTGCTTTGGCACTGCGGATGCATTGCAGTGAAAAGGCAGAGAGCTTTTGAAGTAAAGAAAACATAAAAGAGTTTGCTTTTCTTTTAAAGTTCTATGGCCAAAAAAAAAATTTTTGTCTATTTTTGCGTTTTTCTTTTCTTTTCACACCTTTTACGACGTGCGATGGATGAAATCCTATTTTAAGATTGTTTCGTGGTCCCTTTAATGTGTGCAGAAACATTACTCGAAAACATTTCACCTGCGGGACAATAATGCTTTTGCATTCCTACACGTGAGCAATCATAAATCTCTTCGGCGTGTTTTATTCCCCTGATTACACGCAGCTGTCGGAGATGAAAAAAAGATCAGGTAGTGGGATCGTAGCCCGTACAATGCAAGATGAAAACGCCGGCTAGAAATGCCTTCTGACTAACGACGCATCTTTGCGACGTAAGCACGACTCGTTGGAATGGGAGGGGTCATTGCCAAAAGAGTTCGGAAGCACAAAAATAAAGACCACTACCACGACAGAATGAACAATCCTTCTTGCAGTAATTGCTGGACACATTCACTAAGGTATTGCACCAGCTAGACTAAAGAAAGAAAAGGGTGTACTGTATGGGCTAAAATGCTTCTTGTCATTTTACCATGTCAGTGATCACAATATACCGTATCAATCGTGCAACAGAACACTTGGTTGCGACGGCGACGCAAACATTCACGCGGAATCACCGCAGTATTGTCAAGCCTCAACTGCATAATAGACAATTGGAGTTGGCCTAATGGTAATAATGGACAGCAACCATCCAACTACGACCCAAGGTGCGCCACTGAATCCTTCGGAGCACTGAAACCTCACGGCTTTGCTTCGAAGCAGCGTCGCCACGCCGCCATACACAGGCTGGATTACGGGGCCACTCAAGATGGGAAGCTTTAGACTAGTCCAACCAGCACATAACCTTCTGACCGGTCATAACGTACCAGCTGTTCAAAAATCTCGTATAAACCACCCGCATGAATTATTTTCCCCCCTATTTCAAGATGGCTAACACCAGTCAGCCCGATTTTAAGATAGCCAACATCAGCTAATCAGAAAGCTCGGTCGTTTCATTTTAATTTCAAGTAGATGCCACAGATTGCGATATCCTGGAACCTTCTGCAGGCCTTAGCAGACGGCAGACATCCATGTTAGGATAGCGGATTGGATTGTGTCGGCTTAAGCCCCAAACTCACCGCAGCAAGGTTGCTCGCACTGGCACCAGTCATGCGCACCTGCTGCACCATGCCCGGCGTCGGCTGGGACGGCCTGTTGACTCCGGCTGCGACCGTGGAATTGGCCGTGGATATGGTCGGCCTTGAGGTGGCCACGATCGGGGTCAAAGTCGGCTGCTGCTTCAGCGGCGGCATCCGGACGCACACCCCGACTGAACGCTGCATCACCTGAGCGGAAGGAGTAGGCAAACCGTGAGAGAGCGAACAGGAAGGACACTGTTGCAATCGAAAACAGCTCGTTGCTCACTCGCTCGATGGCGCCACTTTTCCAGCTTTTTTAATGCCCCTCGATATAATTTTCACTTCGCATGTCTTACAAGTACGAACAACTGCTGTTACGCGAATGCAAAAGACACACGCCACAAGCCAGTGCTGGAATACATAGAATCTTGACAGTTAGTTTCAGTGCTGCATCATTTGATACAGTGGCAATTTGGTTGCTACTTGTAACACATCAGGGGGTCTTTGGCACTTCATGCAGCTCATACTTTGCATGTCGCATTCCACGCAAGACTATTTCACTAGGTTTCGTCTAATGTAGTGGTTCACTAACCAGGACACCAAAGGCTGAAAAGCAGACAATTTGCAAAGCATGCAGTGCTGTACGCGGCACTGAAAGAGGTGCCGGGAACTCGAAATACAACCGGATGTAGCAGGCGACAAAGGCAGCCTCGGAATAGACGAGCGGGCGACGGAAGGCGAGCAATAGACCAAATGCAAAATCCTTCGAACGTCTGGCAACACTCTGCGTGCTGCCATCTTTGCTGCGTCGAGATTCCTCCGCTGTTTGTCAATTTCGTAGCGTTACCGGTAACAGTCGAAGTCTACCGCTCACCGTCATCGATCCTCACCCACAACTGCGAGCTAAGGGTTAGTATTGTTTTACGCACTTCCTCGCACAAGCATGTGCTCGTCGTCCCGCTGGTCGCTGGTTCCTCGCTGTAACCAACATGGCAAACATACACTTTGGCTAGAAATTCGGCTTTAAGTGCCGGCAAAGGCACAAGTACCTGGCTTTCGAAAGTGCCTTCTCTGCGCGAGTGCTTGTGCGAGCGAAGGATTCTTTGAAACAACGCTTTAGCACCCTGGCCTTTGCTAGAGCCGAAGCCAACTGGTGAGACGGAGCACGTTCATCGGCGCCTCACTAGATGGCGCCGTGCATTTCGCGCACCGCGCTCCACTCGGTGTCATAGGGGGGTAATGTGCTGGGTATGGGATTCTGTACGTTGCCTTTCGGGACTTGTGCAAAGGGTTTATTTTGCCAGACTTCCAACATCGAGTGACGAATTTCACCATCTAGCAACGCCGGTGCAGACCGCAGTTCCAAAAACATCATAGAGTTCATATAATAATCTAGAGGGAAAGGTCTCAGGCACTGCGGCCGTTCCGGAACATCGGGGCATGGGCGCTGGCAACGTTTCAATACACACGAAGCAGCGTGAAAAGATCACTCGCAAGCTGTGCAGCTAGTGCTCCTTCTTTATTTCACGCTCACTTAGTGGAAGAGATTGACGTCGCGCATTGTATTGGTCGACAAACATGCACGCTTCATGTCGTCGCGGCAAAACGAACGCACCCAACCTATCGTCTGCTCTCCTTTCCCACTCTTCCGCCGCTGTCTCGTGACCGCTGACGTCGGCGCTCAAGATTTGCAAGGTCCCGCTCCCGTCTCTATGCCCCCGGGAAGAATGCGGCGCTCCGCGCGAAACCAAGAGGCGGCTCCGCCCACCCACCCTGTTCCTGCGTGCCCCCGCGCAGCGCTCCTGCTCGCAGACGAACTCGTTGAGCTGCTTCTGGAGCTGGAAGGAGCGGCGGCGCCAGCGCTCCAGGGCCCGGTGCAGCGTCTCGCACTTCTTCTCCATGGGCTGGAGCAGGGCCTGCCCCTGCAGGGCCAGGCACTCCCGCACCCGCTGGGCCACGTACGCCTCCAGCTGGGCCCTGCTCAGCACCACCAGGTTGGGCCCCACGGGGATGCCCACGGGCGGAGGCGTCTGGCTCACCCCCTCCTCGGGCTTGCACTCCGTCAGGACCCCTTTGTCCGACTCTGCGGGAACACAGACGACGCATTACTCTTCTATCCGGCTGCACAAAAATCCCTCCTTTTAGCCTACTTTGTTAAGTTTAGAACAACAGCACTGTATGGCGAGAGCTGTGCTTTAATGCGATGTGCCTCTGCGGTAAATAAGCAAATTGAAAGGGGGGACACTACTCAGGACAATCAACTTCTAAGCACCACGGTTAAAATGAACGAAATTAAAAAAGAGTGCACACCACTGGTCATGACAAAGGGTGCAGAAAAGAAGTGTCGCTGCTGCGCAATAATTGTCGAGGAAATTACGACAGTCCTTGCTGGGGACGCACCTACCTTGCATAGTTAATCTATCGTTGGAAAACTTGTGCGCACAATATTCGTCATTTTTTTTAGTCCAATAGAAAGCAGAACATGTGGAGAGTGCAACAATGAAAAGGATTTTGTACACTAATACGTTGGAATAAAAACACTGTTTTGCAGAATCGAACAAGTTTTATGCCTTCCGTGTCCTCGACAGTCTTAATATTTTTATCAAAGAGAACCGAGTAAAAAAATAATTACACGGTCGAATTCCTCATTAGATATCAGCCAGGAAAAACCAAGAATAGCCTTTCCTTTAATCCTATTAAGGAATGATAATGACAAAAATATAATTCATACTAAAAATTAGAACGAAAAAAAAAAAAAAGCATTCAAAGTGTCCAGATTTTTATCTTTTATACAGCATCAATACACTGAAAATAAAAGTTAATTATGCAGCAGAAACGAAGAAATTTCTGGAGATGTTCATATGTTGCTGAATCTAAAAAATACCTCCTCCAAATCAATAGTCTTTTTTTTTGTTTTTCATTTTCAAATTATTTTTCTAGGTTATCACACCCTTATTGCCGGTTCCAGGGTGTCTACCAAAATTATGTTTTTGAAATCCCCGGTTATCTCATAAAACTTCTATAACTCCTAAGGGGACAGAACATGTCTGCAAAAAAGATTACTTAAAACAAAAAAAAACAAAAAAAAACAATGGCATTATATCAGACGGCTTCCCCAGTCTCAACTTCGAGATGGTCTCACCTGAGCAGCAGAACGTTTGTACCTCACCGGAGATGTGACAGCTAGCGGCACCTCCCGGAACGCGTGCGGTTTCGCGTCTAGGATGGAACATTCAAATGTCTAAAGGCTGGTTCCAATGCCTGCCCCCTGCTTACACCTTGCACCTTAGCTCCTCTTAAACTCTCTTACGGTGAGAGGACACACTAGCGCCATCTGTCGGCAAGCCGCGAAACAGTATGTTGTTTTTCTGGCGCATCAATATTCTTTTTCCTTGGCTCGAAAAACCTTTGACAGTGTCATAAACAAACTTTTCTCATAAACTGCACATACACTTCACGTCACAAAAACTGCAAAACCTTTGCCCTAACGAAATGCAGTTCCAGCTGCTCTAGCGAAAGGAAGTTCCGGGGTAAACTTGGAGACAACGCCGGCGAGGTCTCCCGTCGTAAGAGATTGCAACAACTCGGTCGCAAGCGAACCCGAACGCGTCACGGTCCTTTACGCCGCCGCACACGTATACGGCAACGACCGTCGGAGCGCCGATGAGCGTGCCCGTGCCAGTAATCCGACGTGTGCACCGCAGACAGGCGCCGAGAAGTGTCGGAGTGCTCGCGCCGCCGACTCACCCGCGCCGTCCTCGAACTTGATGCGCTTGGAGCCGTCCGGAGCCGCGTCCGAGCCGTCCGTCACCCCCAGCGCCTTCTTGAGCTCGGCAAGGCTGGAGTAGCCAGAGGAAGCCAGGCGGCGGCGCTTCTTTGGCTCGATGGCCAAGACCTGTTCCATGTCCAGGTCCTCCTTGAGCCCCATGGCGGGCAGGCCGACCACGTCGCCTGCGAGCGTGGAGTTAGCCTGTTAATCCAGAGGCAAAAATCCTAGTTTCGGCAACTTTGAAACGGCAGGGCAGGGACGTGGATATCAGTGGTCCTGACGGAATTGCCGTAGAAGTAGTAGACTGGGGTTTTATGGCGCAAAAGCAACTAGGGCTATGATGCGCTAAAGATATTATTGAGGGTTTAGAAGAAGAAAGAGCTTTAGCAGCTGGTAAATTATGAAGTTATGAACATGAAAAATGTATAACATATGAGCGGGACCTTACAGTATGAAGGCGGCTACAATTCATGTGAAAGACTAATGCTTTCTAGAAACTTAAAAAACATGGGTTGATGGGAGCAGTGGCTCATTTCCAAGTAACACACATAGGTGTAAAGAGACACGTTCTTTGTAGAGATTGGCGAAGTAGCGGCAGCGTTTATCATCGTAAGCAGGGCACCCGAGAAGGATACATAATTGACACTTAAAGGTTCCTGGAAATGTTCATATTCAGGAGGACCCTTGTGTGTGCCCATTGCGTACATGACAGAGGATCTCCCATTTACGGAGAAAGGGCTTTATCATGCACAGTTTATTTGCCACCTGTAAGCTCCATTCTGCTTGCCACAGAGCTTTAACATGATATATGATTAGGGCACAGTAATCTATGAACTGGATGCTACTAATTAATCTAAGAAAAAAAAGCTATTAATGTCTACAGCACGAGTGCCACAAGTGCTCGCAGCACAATCTACCTCTTCATTCCCTATGATTCGAAAAGAATAGAACATTACAACCTTTACTGCTCATTGCTACCACTTTGTTTTGCGGTAAAACAATGAGGGCATTTCTGCGGGTTGTAAGTGATGTCAGAGCTTGTGATTTGTGAAGTAAAAAAGCAATTTCCAAAAGCCGAATTTTAAGTTCCCGCACCATCCCGACCGCAAGTGTTGTGTTCGCCTACATCCTGCGATCAACCGCTCTCCTCTCCTCTGTACGTGCCGCCCATCGGTCTGAGTAGACGACGCTTAACTTTAGAGTTTGGAGTTCTTTTGGGGCCCTTTCAGCGATCTCATATGCCTTGAAATGGTAGGAGGTCGAAGAGAACGCGCAGTGGACTTTTGTGAGCGACGTGAAGGGCCACGTCGCACCGGTTCCGCGTGAACAGCTGCCCCGGCGGAGTCGCAACCGAAACTACGGTACACAGACGCCAAACCCAGTTGTTTCGACCGTTTGACGATTGCCTTTTCGATGTCTCAGAAGTCAACGGACACCCACAAAAAGAGAACTTGGACCGATTCCCCCACTCACTGACCATCGTCAGTGCATGTGCCGAGGGGCACCATGTTTTCCGAGGGGAATCAAAAGCCAGGAGGCGGCTTCTTAAAAAAGAAGTTTTACGAATGCCATTATTAAATATTATAGAAATGTCGCTTACAAAGCTTCTAAATTTCAGAATCGATTACATCACAAAGAAAAAAATATGCGAAGAGGAGAGAAGAGTGCCAAAGATAAAAAGGCACGCGCATGCGTGGGGAAATTTTTGTTCACATTGTGGTATTTTTTTGCGTGTCCATGACTACAACTTGCATCATGTTGGACGACATAAAAAAAAAAAAAATACCTTGGGGTGTCAGTGATCTTTTAAACTGACCAAGCATAAAACAAAGTGCAATGAAGCTTTAGCATACTTGCACAGGGCAGGAGACATCACACTGCTAGCAAATCACAAGAAATACATTCTGCAAACGCGAGTTACCAAGATCCGTGCTTCGAATGCCTTGCGACATTCCAAGCACGGATCTCGCAGTGACTCGCATTTGAATCTGTATGCAGACTGTCTTTTGCATGATGTATATTGAATATTGTTAGCATCCAGCTCTACCATTCTCCTTAAGCTGGGGTCGCACTGCTTATACATAGTTACGAAATAGGACACTGAATGTACAATATACTTGGAATGCCAAGGAATTTTCACATATGCAGTTAGATATAAAATGGGACTAAGAATGATCCTGACAACATTCGATTACTAATATAGGAAGAGGGCCCTCATTTCGATTGGTACTTTTCTCCCGTTCTTTCTGGTATCTCGGTTTGCGTGGATGGTGCCCGTCGCAGTGCCAATTCCTTACGCGCGCTCATTTTTGCGCCAATAGCGGCAAGCCGAGGGCTGGGCCACTGGAAGGACCACGGCAAGCCAAGGACCAATCAAAAGACTATCGCGGGTTGGATTTTGCTCGCGGGCCTGGGTTTGGAGACCCAGATTTAGACAAATCAGAATGTGGTCCATGCAGGCAAAGACGGTGCTGCTAAGCGTTGCCAGCAAAATTCAACTTCAAACTTCACTTCGGGGTTTTCTTTAAAAACCCCAATAAAAAAAAATATTAAAAAAAATGAACAAACCTCCATTCAAAATGGGCGACTCATTCTCCTTCCCGGCCTCATACTCCTCCGGCGGATTTTCCGGGTCGTCCCCTAGAATTGACCAAGTTGCTGTTAGCCGACAGAATCCGAGACAGACCCACGACCCCAGTGACAGGAGTGGACATTTATCGGTCCAGTCTTGCCGTACACTTTGTCCCTTCCCAAAGCTATTGTACGAGTTGGTGTACCTAAGAGAAGGCCGCTCGGCCGTTTTAGGGCACCCGAAAAATAAAGATTATTATTATTATTATTAAAGCAGTTACGTCCACCTTCTGCGACATCTCGTAATGAATTGCAAATCGACGACGAACTGGAGACAAACTAAGGTTTTACACGAAAAACACGGCAACAGAAAGCGTGGGCCAGTGCAGAAGAAGACATACTTTAAACTAAAGTTTTACTAGATGACGCAGCAATTTAAGGTGAAAGTACAACTCAACCTGCTTTTTCTGTCCCCGTGTTTTTGCCATGAAACTTCAATGTGAATCAGGGTCAACTAGTTCCACTTGCTACCCTAATTCAAATTGGAGAATATGTCGATCCTGTCCTTTCAGTTTCAGCACCACGCATGGTCAAACATATACCATTTAGTACAGCTGGATTCGGTCCAATTAACCCATATTTGTGCCTTATGTCTCATCAGATCTCCGAAAGACAAGGGCGGTTCCATCCTGGCCCCCTTTCAAAACCGAAAATGCAATTCTGTAACCCGTTGAATCCCAACTAGAACCTGAAGGGGTGGCGAGAGGCCCAACAGGTTCAAACATGTAGCACCCACATAGAAACCGAGCGAATTTCGCCCGGACAATTAAAGGATGGCAAATTTTCGGACTGACCTTTCAGCTCGACCTTGACCGCCTCCTCGTCCATGTCGTCTACATCCCTCTCGTCTGCCTCCGAGCACAGGTCTATCGTCGGTGCGTCCTCGTCCATCGACTCGCAAACGGCCGCCTCTTTGTCCTCTTCAACAGCTGCCTCTTTGTCCTCTTCAGCGGCCACCCCTTTGTCCTCTTCAGCGGCCATCTCTTTACCCTCTTCAGCGACCTCCTCGTCCACTTCGGCAGCCACCTCGTCCTCTTCGGCAGCCGGCTCGCCCTCTTCAGCAGCCAACTCACTGTCCGCTTCAGCAGCCTCCTCCTCCCCTGCTTCGACGACTTCCTTGCTGTCCAATCCGGCGAATACCTCTTCAACATCTCCGGCGGATGTCTCTTCAGTATCTCCAGTGGCAGCCACCACCTCAGTTCCGCCGTCGACCCCTTCTTCTGCGATGACGGCTCTCTCCACTGCACTGTCGGTCGTTGGTTTTTTCTCGACTATGGCTGCTTCCTCAGGCTCGTCGACCACTGGAGCGTCTCCTCTCTCCTCCACTCCTTTTTCATCCTCTTCCGCGTCGCCGTCCAAAAGGATCACCTTCATGGTGGAGGGGGGGTCCGGATTAGGGTCTTCGGGTTTCGCTTCCTGGGTTGCCGACGGCCCCTGCTTCGCAGAGTCCCTGTCAAGAGAAATCATCGATGCCTTCTCAACTTGCAATGCGACACCCCCCCCCAAGGAATCGGTTCGACCAAGTGTACAAAACTATAGTTTGCGTCACATTGCAGAGGACCGCAGTGAACGCCACGAGCCGTACTGACCAATCTGGCGCTGTGAATGCATCGAGCGACTCCGCGCGTCGCAGTGTCCCTCCCAAAGGTCGTGCGACGCTTGCACGGCCTTAGATTGGCTGCGACGGCTCGTAGCATTTGCTGCGATCCACAACAAGGTGAAATGGAGCATGGTGGGGTGCAGTAAAAGGTCAGCTATGCTCGTCTTGTCCGGGGCTGTTCAAACGGAACACGTTTTCTGCGCTTTACAGCATTTCCTCTACTACCAGAAGTAAAGGTTTTCATTTGGTAGCAGTGAGCTTTGGGACGCTTTTACTTCTGTCTGTCTGTCTGTCTGTCTGTCTCTGTGTGTGTGTGTGTGTGTGCACGCGCACGTGCGTGTGTGTGGGGGGGGGGGGGGGGGGAGCTACTCTCTGCTTCTGTCTTCGGACAAAAAGTGCTCGAAGCAGGCTCATCACGGAAGCGCCCGCAGCCACACCACGTTCTACCGGCTGTCGTCAAGGCCTCCGCCGTTTTTGTTGCCCCACCCCACCCCCTGAAAGCGAGTAAGGGGAGGAGACGGCAGCAAAGAGGCGAGGCTGAAACCATTTATGTGGTTAGTGTCTTCACCCAAGACACTGTGCACGCCACCAAGCTTACATAGTTTGAAAATCGAGCACACTTTTTTTTATGCTGGTTAGCGCACTTGCAACTGCTTATGCCCATGCACCTTAAAACCTCTTAAACTCTCTCAACAAGAGGACATACTAGCGCCATCTGTCTGGTGGCTGTGGTGCGCTGCATTCCCACATATCTCCTACATTTCTTTTCACATAATTTTTTGGGGGGGCTCAGAAAACTTTTTGACATTGATTTGGAAGATTATTTCTTATAGATAGTAGATACCTTCGATCTCGCAAATACCGCAAAAATAAAAGAAATCAAGTCCCAGGGTAACCTCGTAGATGGTGCTAGTGTGTTATCTCGTCATAGAACTGGGTCCTAAGCAAACGCAAGTGTGCGAATGGGCCTCAATGTGTCTAAACACTGTTCACTAAGAAAAACCTTGGGGTGGGGAGGTGTCTATTTTTCCTTGTGATGTCTCAGTCATAAGCAAACAAAGTGTGTGAATGGGCATTAATGTGTCTAAATACTGTGCACCTCACCAGGAAAAACCTTCTTGGGGTGGTGGGGTGTCCATTTTTCATTGCGATGTCTCGGTCATAAGCAAACTCAAGTGTGTGAATGGGCATTAATGTGTCTCAACACTGTGCTCACTAGGAAAAACCTTCTTGGGGTGGTGGGGTGTCAATTTTTCATTGTGATGTCTCGGTCATAAGCAAACGCAAGTGTGTGAATGGGCATTAATGTGCCTAAACACTGTGCTCACTAAGAAAAACCTTCTTGGGGGGTGGGGGGAGGGGGTACCAATTATTCATTGTGATGTACGTGCCCTATCCAGACACTTGTCAAAGATGCTTTGGGGAAATTGAGCACCCCTCCAACCCAAAGAGGCCCCGGCCGGAACTCACTTTGGGTCCTCCTGGTGCTCCGGGGCGGGCGCCTCATAGTCGTCGTCTTCGTTCACCTCCTCCATGATGAGGAAGTCGTCGTCGTATGCTTCGCAGGAGCTGTTCAGCCCCTGCGCCTCCATCTCTTCCTCCTCCGCAGTCCGCACCAGCAGCTGATCCATGGAGGCCGCAGACTCCGCACCCTCCTTGGCCCGCTCCACATCCCCTTCCATGACGGACTTCCGGGGCAGACGACGACGAGCGTCCTCACTGTTGCTGGCGGCTATTCCTACGGTTAAACGGCATTGGGTCGGGGCGGTCAGGCGTAGAGCGGCAACGTTGCGATACCTATAACTCATCCGTAACGCGTCATACGTCAAAAGTGGTACTGAAATGGCGATAAATGATGTCGCAGAGGCCGAGGCGCCACGCCATCGGACGTCGCAATCGCGCCATTTGGGCGTAGAAGTCCCGGTCAAACGTATGAGCGAACGAGAGTGTCGCCGTCGTCATGGTGTCACGACTTCTGGCTACTGGAGCTTCCGTGGCCCGTCAAGCTGGAAGCTAGAAACAGGCGTCTGCCACGTGCAACGCCTCCAGGATCGCGACTGGCAATGACGTGACACTCAATTCACGTCATCGTCAGAAATCGAGGGACCACCCTTTCGGACGTGGTACACACACAAATCGGAGACGCAATCCAGGCACTTTAACTTCACCCACTTAACCTAAAAACAACTACAAAAAAAAAAAAAAAAAGATGATGCGAAGTGGTGCGTTATTTTTGGACCCCGCACTTATATTTTTGCAATATAGCTGCACATTTGGCGAGAAAAAGCAAAAAAAAAAAAGATTAAACCGACCAGGACAGAGGTAGGAGGCAACAGATTCCAGAGGTCGCCCTGGTTGTGTCGCTCCTCGCGAAGATGCTTAAAAGTTTAATTAGATCGGTACATAGCCACGGTGATGCACGTTAAAGACCCCAGGTTAGCGGCTGTACCGCACTGGCTAAATTTCTCATCTACAGCTGGGAGACTCGTCGCCCCTGTGAGGCAGACCAAGTTCTAGGCTGTATAAACACACACACAACCCAATTTTTTTTTTTTTTCACGGAATTTATTTTTTTGTTAATCGTTTAATTATATGGCTGCAAAAATGTGCCCCTGACAGCTTAATACTCGCAAGAAAGGTCTGTGTTTCGTGTAAAAATAATTAGATGTCAGGTTGCAAAGACTTTGTCTTCATTAACAATTAGGAATGCGTAAGTAAATGACTCCAGCAATTTTTCACCTACTCCGACTATGTTTTCTGAATCCCGGGCGTTTACCCTTTCCAGCATGCTATTTAGCATAGCTAAATTCATACTAGACGAAATCAGCAAACTGAAATGTTGCAAAAACCAACATTTCAGTGCCGTGACGTCAAAGGTAGGCAGGCTGGCCAGTCGAGAAAGCAGTCCAAGAAATAGACTATTCCAAGCATTTGTTTCGTGCTGGCACACGAATACTGGAGCGAGCTTCCAAAGCATTCATTTGACAGCATGAAACTGCTTATCATCAGTTGGGAACAAATTCTACACTCCAAAGAATGAACCTCTGCACTTCCACTGACGTCACTTTTTCGTTGCTGCCAGCAGAGTGTTTCAGTTTGAAAAACACAGTGTGTACCAAAATTGTATTTTGGTACACATATTTTAATCTAATATTTGGGATACTATATCAGTGATGTTCATTGGAGTGTTTTGCAAATTGTCAGGCAAATGGGGGGCGCCATGAAGAAATTGCAGGAGGACCCCTTTAAAGGGATACTACAACGAAATTTCAGCACTTATTTCTTGGTCTATTTGTGTTCAAGAGAGCAAGATCACATCAGACACGCCACTTGCTTACTGAAAAAGATGTGAAAAAGAATTTTAAAATGAATTAAACGATTAGCAAAGACCACCTGGTGGATGCTGCTAACGCCTCGTTTGTAATGCCCGTCTAGGAACCTTGACAGGTAGTGAAGGTAACTAACTGTCTTGCCTCCGGTTACCACGAGAGAAGAGGGGAAGAGGAACTCCCCTCTCCGCGAGAATCTCCTTTGTGTGTCCCAGACGTCGCTATTGTCCCTCTACAAGATTATAGAAAACTAAGCAGTCACTCAAAATTCAAACAAAAGCAGCTTTGGGTGACCCGATCGCTGGTGTGGCCGCTTCGGTGACTGGAACAGCTAGGACCTCCTCTCGACTTCAGCCTCACCGCAGCTTCGCTAGTCCCGAGAAAAACAATCTATGTCACGATTGCGGCGGATGACACGTGGTCTCCGAGAGCTCGCCAGAGTGGGTTGTTTTTAACGAAAACTACAGCCATCAGGCTCAAAATACAAATATGTGATTGTCATTTACCGATATTGTGGATCATATTCAGCCTATTTCTGAACACGATGGGTATATTTCAAATTTTGTTGAAGTGTCCCTTTAAAAGCATCAGGTACAATGAAGCAATGAATATGACATACTTCCTCATTGCTGGCAATATTCCATTAAATGTTTATTAAGCATATGCCACTTCGTAATGGGAAGGAGCATAAGTTGACCCCTCTACTTTTTGGGGGTGAGCTATCTGACCCCTTAAGCTCAACTGAGTTTGAGACCTTTGCTATAGATATTTGTAAACTTGCTGGCTTTTCCTGAATAAAGTACTCACCATAGCTTTTCATTTTAGGGGAATTCACTAATTGAGTCATCTTTTTGTCGCAGTGGAACAATTAGAAATTTTCTATTAGGGTTTTCAGAAGCCACAGAATTTGATTGCATTCCTACATTTTCATTTTACCAACTGCATGCAATGCAGCAAAAACTTGTTTCCCTTAGAAACAATCCTAACAGATATGGGAATCCAAAAACAAAGAATCCTACGAATGTGAACTGCAACACAATGCCCCCAAAGGTCAAGACCTCATACTATCCAGGAATGTTGTGAACCTGTTAAGGCTAGAGTTTGGAAGGTTTAGAAAATTTCAGACTATTTTGAAGGATTCAGGTTCTGCTTGTTCAAACATTACAGACTACTTGGAAGGTTGAGCACAATAAGGTTAAATGTTGCAAGCTATTTAGATGTAACAGCAAACCCTTGCAAGTGTGTTAAGGAATATATTCAAACATTACAGAAAACTTGTTAGTTCCAGCAATTTGGCAATATCGAAGGAGTTTAGTGCTGAGCACAAATTTTGACATTTCCAGAATGCCTCTGGCTTCCAGGTATTTACAAAAGCCCAAAGCCCGCCCACGAATTATCCAGAATCAAGCAACCTTTCAACTTTTGGACAAGATGCTAAATTTGTCTCACCCGACGACATGGTAGATTAGAAATTTCAAACTCTGTCAAATTCATCTGCCAGGAAACCTCAAGGGTTCA